AAGTGTCTCGTCGTTTCTGTTGAGAATGGTACGTATGTCCGTAATATCGATTCTCAAGCGCGATAATAGCTTCAAGTATTTCAGAATTTTTTTAACATGTTTGACATATACGTTTATATTGTATCATTTTTTCCTGCAGGTTTAAAAATTTTTTTTTTTTTTTTTGTAATATTGAACAAAATTTTCTCTAAGGTGAAAATCTTAAATCTTGAAGCACTGATCACAAAGTTTTACACTTTTACGTATTTCTCGCGCATTTGATATTGATGCGCTATTCGAATTTTCTACGAGTGCTCCCCTCTCTGCTTTCCGTTACTATAATCCTTACAACTCGCGTCGACAAAGACATTTCTGGACATTTCCAATTCTCGGAGAAGAAGGAAGTTTAAAGTCGCTTGGCAAGGCACCAATGCTCGTACTGCTATACCCTATTTCAAGATTACCAAGAAAGCAGCCAAGCAAACGATGCTTCTTCCCCATCGTCACTATCGAAGTCATACGATTCCTTTCCCGAAGTGGAAGGACAAAGAGAGAGCGTACGCAGATCGAAAGAAAGATTTAATTTATCGGAGACGAAGAGCAGACACGACTGAAAGTGCCTGTCTTCCTTAATAGTCATCGACGTTGCATTTATCGTAATGAGCTCATTCTTCTAGAGGGTGATGTCGCGAATAATACCGATAGGATGCTCATTTGGAAAGGAAGGTTTTGTTTTGTGCCTTCGCAACGTATTTGATGTTAAATGTGGATACTTGAGTTTAATTGATTTAATATAATATATAATAGAAAAATAAAAATTCTGTAATACATACAAAGTTCTGTATTACATTATTGATGTCGTATAATCATCATTATAATTATTGTTAAATAAGATCATTAATGTAGTATAATTAATTGTAATTTATACATAGACGTAGCTATATATGATAGTTATATTAATTCCAGAATTATTTTAAATGATATTGACATATATGAAATCATATATACGAATATCAAATTCAATAATCATTACATTGCTCCGGATTATTGAGAAAAATTAATCGAGACGTATAAATCAGTACGACCTGTGATCCCATTTCCACTTGATATTGCAATATTAATGTATGATATAATAATGAAGTATTGCTTTAAGTGCATATAATGAAGTATATATGATTTCATAATAATGATAATAATGATTTCATAATAATGATAATAATGATTTCATAATAATGATAAAAATGAATAATAATAAGTGATATTAACAGATTTTTTTTTCATCGAAAAAGCACACATTTTATACATCTTGATTTTTAGATTCACGGCAGGATCAAGACAACGCTTTGCTGTCAATTAGACGAGGCCGAGTTACCGTCTGCGGGATTCCTATCAAAAATAATGCGGCGATATTCCTGGCGAGGAGCAGCCTTCGACCTCGATCCACTCGAGACGCCTACGTGAAGGGTTTAGATAACAGCACGCCAGAGAGTTACTCGAAACTTCGCCGCTTCCTTCTTCGGGGGCCAGGCCGCGTCGTTGCTCGTCCTTTTTCCATTCCTGCCACTCGACGATCCCTTGCAACCCTACTCTCCCTTGCTTCGTCCTCCTACCCTCACCTTTCACCCTCCATGCTCCGGACGCGCCCGCGAACTTCCAAGCGACAGTTTGACAAAATGCAGATTTCCTTCGTTTCCCTGACAACGATCGGTTTTTCTGCTTCCCTTTCTTCTCCATTCCTTTTTCTTCTTTTTCTTTTTCCTTTTAGTCTCTTCAACCTTTTCCCACAGCCTTTTCCCACTTCGTCGTCTTCCTTCGAACGAAGTATAGTGCTGCGTCCCGCTACCAGCAATCACCTCCTTTCCCCGCTTCCTTGCTTGCACTTCCAAAGCTTTCCCTTTTCTCTCTTAGCTACTTCGTTTTTCTATGTATTTCTGTTCAACCGTAGATCTTTGGTCTGCCCGAACCAGATCCTGCGAATAATATCCGCAGGAGTTTACCACTAGAAAAACTGAAGTGGTTAAAATAACCGTTTGCGAATTTCAGTCTCTTTATTCAGTAGACGTATATATGTATACATGCCATACGTAATTGCCCATTCGAAAAAGAATTTGACTGTTTCAATTAATTATATATAAGATATAACACATATAATATTGCAACTGTAGCAGTGCAGTCTATAATAGGCTATGTTGGCTCAATCTGACAGATGCTTTTAAAACACAGTAGAAAAAAAAAGAGGAAAGAGAGACATATTCTCCCGTCAAGTATCTCCCTTTCACGGTGGATGAATCTCAGCGGATGGCGTTCCTAAAAAGAGATAAGCGCGAGAAAGGGATTTTTTTTCGGATAGTTGATGTTGTTGGTCGGATGGCCGGCACAACTTCTCGCTCCCCCATTCCTCTCTTCACTATCCTTCTCATAAATAATAAATGGCCAAATGGAGCCTGGCCAGACAGCTGGTACATTTACTTCCGGCTCAACCACGTACGCTTTAAAACATTTCCCGCGCGTCGCGTTGGAAAATAGAAAAATGGGAGGCGCGTGTCTTATCTGCTGCTTTAAGTGCGTCAGTTATTTTCAATAGCGTGAAAACGAGCGTTGTCTAAAGGGAAAAATCCGGGCCGTCGTAACTTGAAAAATCATCATGCCGCGAAATATAACTGCGTCCTTAATAACAACGAACCTGCTATTATTTTTCGTAAAACTTCCTGACGCCCGCGCCGACTTCTTTTCTTTTTAGTAGGTAGGAAATATAGTTGCCAAAATACATATACTTATATAATAATGTTATTATATAATACAATCAATAACAATGTCGTATCACGAGCATTAAAGTTGCAAGATAATGCTCGGGTCTTTATGCATTATTTGCGTACGTCTCTCACAAATGGTGTGAACCGCGGCCGGCAATTTACCGAGTGCACCGAATATACGACCATCTGTGCGATTTATTCCCGTTATTCATACATTTCAACGATCATCTAAAATTCTGCAATTGTACGATTGTGGCTACATTTTGTCGACACAAGCACTTTACGGTGTGAAATGACGATAACTAAAGCATACATGGGATTGCAACCTTAGCACTTTTTGTATATATCAGGACATTTTTATCTCATTTAAAATTAATTTAGAATTTATTCTCCAATGTAAAATTGCTTAAAAATGTGTAATTACATATTTATTTTATGTCTTGTTTTTCATAGTACATGAATCTTGTTCATATTTTTTATCAGCAATTGTACTAATATTTAATATATACATTATAAAGTAATTTAATACTTAATATTGATATGATATTCGATATTTCAAAGTATAATTAAATACCTAAATGATTCATATTTCTATAATTATCAACACACGATAATATCTATAATATATACATAACATATCTACGTATAATACATAATATACGTACATTAATATTGTGATATTTTAATATGCATGGCAAGTTGTAGAGAAAAATTTTTATCTTAAATAATAGAACATTATATAATATTTCACAACAATCTGAAAACTGAATAATATATAAAAATTTCAAGATTATATTTATATGTATCACATTTCATGTTTCATAATTAATTAATGTAAATAATAAATTGTAACATAATTAATCGTAAATAATTTGAACCACATTCAGTTGTTTTTAAATAATTGAATATATAAAATTATTTTATAAAAAAGGAATATATAAAGTTTATTTTATAAAAAAAGAAGAAATAAAAATTCTTGAAACATAAAGCCAAGAATTATAAGAAAATATTAAGAATTAATTCATTTTTCTGTTTTTACTATTTTAACTTAATAAAAATAAAATCTATTAGCTAAAATTTACATATGTACTTTACACATTAACTTACTTAACTTACTTATTAGCGACCCTCTAATTGTATGTTTGCGGTAGAGATGATACAATGTAAATAATTCATTATCAGACTATCTATATCTACATTTTTTGTACTTAAAATCAAATAATCTTTTACTAAAATATAACGCGCACTAATTTCTTGAAATTTAATTAATTTATCAAACGGTATTTGTACTTAATAATTGTTTTTATATTTCCTTCTTTGATTTATACCTTCTTCTTTTACTTTTCTCTCCATACATTGCATGCTTTCTCGTTAATATTATTAATGATATTTTTCTCGAATAACGAGTAAATATACATAGTCGTTGTACAGTTGTTCGACTCGCTAGTCCATCTCGAAAAAGCCAAGGAAGTCGCTTGAGATGCATGCAAAATGTATAGCGTATATTATTGAAGTCAAGCATTACGCGGCCGCAAAGTGGCAAGATGGAAGGTACGTATCATATATAACGTTGAATAAAATACGAGTGGCTCTCTCTCTCTCTCTCTCTCTC